AGTTTAATAAATGTGTGAATGGGTTGGGAGAAGGAGTTTGGAGAGGTGAGGTGGCGCCAAGAGATTGGAATGGAGAATGAAAGAGTGAATGATGAAGTGGTCCGTGAGTGTTGAAGAGAGGAAGCTACCATGAATTATTAAATAGTATTGATGGATGATAGTGAATGATTGTTTGGTCAATGGAGTCGGCTTCCCTGGCTTCTTCTCACCACTGCTAATGGAGGTGCTAATTTGGACTGTCTAAAAATTTAATATTCAGATTTAATGTTTTTTTATTTTTTATTTTTATATCGATCAAAATAAAATTTAATATAAATTGTAAAAAATTTTAATAAATCGTCTATTAACCAGTTTCAACAATTTAAATTTAATATGAATTGTCCATATTTAAAATTTAAAATTTTATTATTTTTATAAATTAACTATTCAGATATATTATTCTGGATAACACAGGTTTAATATTAAAATTTAATAGCGAAAATATTAAAATTTCATATGCATAGTGATGAAGAAGCCATGCAGGGAGCGATAAAACTATAATATGACAAACATATCAAGGGCGCCAATATATAGCCACGTCACCAGCTTAATTACAAACAACCCTAAACATTTACACACACACACACACACACACACAAGTAGTCACACTAATGGTCTATTTGGCAATTCAAAATGGATTTGTTGTGCAATAATCAACCCACAATGTGATCTCAGGAATTTATATATATAGTTCGATTAAAAGTTTTAGGCTTTAGCTATTAGTTGACGAAGGAGGTGTCTATATATGTTTACAAATGTAGATGATCAAAAACCACAATTTAAGCAAAATGACAATTCATGAAACTTTCCAACATAAATAAATATTCCAAGCTGTTATATTGATATAAAAGTGTTTTCCATAAAGGAAATTAAATGAGAAATGTATGTGTCATATTTTCTTTCTAGATACATTTCTTTTTTCATTTTTAGAAAATATTTTTTCATATGCCAAACATGCACTAAACTACTGTTTGAAAAGTAGAAAAGTGTTTTCTAAAAAGGAAATGAGAAATACATCTATATCTCATTGTCTTTCTAGATACATTCCTCTTTCCCTAGACTAGAAAACATTTTTCCATACGCTAAACAAGCGCTAAACTTAATTCCCTAATCTCTTCCTCCACTACACGCTCAAGATTTATATATATATATATATACCCACGATTAATTCCAACATATACAACTGAATTAAGATTTTTGTAATTCACTCACCAACCAAAAGGAGAACAATCTCAACTTAATTGAGATATTCCTATTTTTACTTGATTGATAAACTCAACAATACATAGGAAGCATATTTATGCTAACTATTATAAGGCAACCTAATTTAGTCTAAAATTTAAAACGAGAAATTAAATACAAGAGAGGTCAGGTGTTATACACACTTCTCATGACACATCACCATATGCTTAAATAGCCACTATATATTCAAAATCCTCTTCACTAACCTCTCTTAGCCCAATTCTTTCATCTCCAACCCAATCCTTCGCTTGACCCATCCGATTCATCCCTATATATGTATATATATATATATATCTTGGAAAAATCTCATGAGTCACCAAGTAGGTGTGACACATATGGTAGCAGTCTTGGCCCTTTAAACTTCATTTTAGAGTTCGATTCTTAAAGGCATGTATGGAAAGCATAGCTTAGGAGAGGATAAGCCCTTAAATAGTGCTCAGGTTCCTTAAGAGATTAGTCTCATGGCTGCTGGCTATGAAGATATATACCTTGGGAAACAAAAGAAAAATCTTCTAAGTATCTATCTTCTCCGTCTTCTATATTCTTCTCGATTCATAAGGCTAGCTGCTATTGTTGGTATGTGTGACAGCTGAGTCGATATTATAATTGGTGTAAGGAAGAGGTAATCTGCATGCTGAGGGCTAGAGACAAATTGAGCAAAATATTGTTCTAGGCCTCAGGATGCAGATTACCCGATCCTGGCCCAACACTGACTCTTCCAAGAAAGGTTTGGATTATTTATGAGTAACTAAGTATTGAGTAGACAGGATTAGAGAGGCGAAGAGCTAGTTGTAGGTCTGACATAATTAAGAGGGTAAATCTGTCCTTTTTCCCCCTTCTTTTTTCTTTTTGGATCCCAAGATACTTCCATAGATGGCAGTCATGAAACTAATCTCTTGAGAAATTTGAGCACCATGTAAGGAATTGTCATCTCCTAAGCGATGATCACTATACACACATTCATGAATCAAACTTTGCAATGATACTTAAGGGGCTCAAACCACTATCATATGTGCCGCATACCACTTGCTTTTCCCCCCTTCTTTTTAAATGTGCAATATATTTTAATTCAATTGAAACATGAAAATAGAAAACTATATATAACAGGTCAACAAAATTACCTTTGTTGCGTCTTCTTTCTATTTGACCTTTGAAATAATATTATAATAAAAGTGAAAATAACACAATGTAAAGGAAAAGGTGTAAGGATACATTACAAATAATCCTTCAAGAAATATTATTCACTTTATATACTATATTATTGAAATTGAATTTTTTATATTGAGCATAATTAATAAAGGAATGATATCTGGTTTAATTAAATTAGTATGATTTAAATTATATTTAATTAAAATTATAATCATATTTTATATTGTAATTATATAAACATTGTTTTTATAATTATTTATTAAAGTAAATAAACTTTATTTCTTACAAGTTATAATCTAGATCTACGATTCAAGTTTAATATTATTACTATTTTATTAAAAACCGTACATCATGTGTTAAATGGGGGTCAGCTATTTCACAGAGATTATTTGCCACCTTTTTTGCCTCTCATCTCTGATTCTTCTTCCTTCCTCCATAAGCCTCTCACTGAGATTATATATTGCATTACTACTATTTAAAAAATTTGAAAGTCATATTTACATTGGATAGTAAATTTACATGTATAAATGTTTTTCATTGGTCATGCAACGTTAATGCCCCATGTGATAATCTAGTTATAAGTAAATTGCAATATGGACAATTATTCATCATATGTGGATTTTGTACATAACAAGAATGTAGTAAACCTCAAAAAGTACAAGATGAGAAAAAATATATATATATAATCTACACATAATTACAATCATTATAATATAATAGATGGAATTGAGTCAATATGATTAAAAATAGGAAACTACATCTAATAGAGACTTATTTAAAATCAATCACAATCAAGTTATATTTAATTACATTAACTAGATTGTGGAGTTCCAAAGATAACAAAAATATTTTCGGCCACTATATGAGTTTAATAGTTGCTTAGAAATTTTGTTTACAAGCAATCGATTATTATCTTACACTTATAATTTAATGCAATGGATTTATTTTACAAACATATCTTTGATTAGTAAAATAGCGTTTATCATGTCTATTCCATGACTTTGCATTGTTTTGTTAACTTCATCTATTTTTACTTCTTTCTATTATGCCATAAAAAAATAGACGTCCTTTGTATCCTTCTATTTATCCAATGATAACTTATACAACTCAAACAAAGACTCAATACACAAAATGAAATTATTTTATCATACGTATACCTGTGGAGAGCTTGGTTAACAATCTCTATTTAACATTTGATTTCGTTTGTAATCGTGAATATAATTTTGTTAGAACATGCTTACCATACTTGATGCATTCAATCTCATTATATTAACAACTCTAACGAAATCAAACATCAAGTATAAATTGCTTAAACCAAACTCAGAAACAGAGGAAGATGTATATATAGAGCACAATGAATGTGTAGAACATTAGTAAATCACATAATGCCATTTAATAAATACCTCGTAAGTTCATATTCTTGATCGTCTACACAACATAGCATGTTTTCAGCAATAACTGAGTTATCACTCCATGTACAGTATAACTCCACACAATATATGAGTAATAATTATTAATATTTTCATTTTGTATTGTGTCTTCGTCTAAGTTGGGTAAGCTAGTACTAGAAAAATAGAATAAGGCCATAAGGTCTGAATTTTTTTTTTTTGCATGGAATAAAAGAAAAACAACAGTAGGATGAAGTTAATAAAAAAAACCAAAGCCATGAAATAGACATAATAAAAACTATTGTAAAAAATTTTAGGTTTGTAAAAAAGATATGTCACATTAAATAGTTGTGAGATTAGCCGACAAAATTTCCTAAGCAATTGTTGAACTCATATAATGGGAAAAAAGAAAAAAAAATTACTGTAACTTTCACAATAAGAAAAATATTCATGAACAATTTGCAGATTCACAATGTTTTGATTCTTCTCATTACAAATGCAATACTTATTTTTTTATTTTTTATTTTGTCATTTTATCCAAGTATACATTACACAAGTAATGAAAATGTGTCCGAATTAAAATAATAATTATTAAATTATATATGAAAATTTAAATATTTTAGATAGCATTTAACCATATCCTTATCATACATATCAAATTTATAGTCAATTGCACCAACAATATAATGAAACTATTTTTATCAATTACAAATAATAAAAATCGTCAAGTATATTTTCCTCAATAATTGTCTAATCAAATCAACATAAGCTTTCATTATTAAATAAAATCACCAAAAATCATCAATATATATATATATATAATAACCCTAAAGAAAAACCAATCATGGACAAATAAAAACATACAACATAATTTTAGGTCATTAAGATTTTTATAAAAAATGGAAAACTGGTTCCATCGGTTTTACAGATTTTAATTGGTTCTCAATCGGTTCAATTTTTCAGTAGTTCTAGCCTTGATTGAACCAAACTATAAGTCAGTTCCTTGTTGAACTAGTTAAATCGATCAGTCAGGTTCAGTTCTGGCAACCCTAGACATGACATATGGAAATGGTTTGTTCTAGATATATAAAGAAGTCAAGAGATTTTTTTTTGTTACAAGAAAATCAAGAGATTTATATTCAAAATACCAAACAGAATTAGTTAGAGAGTGTGAGGACTCACCGCAAGATGAATACATGAGCTCAGGCATTGTGGGATCAATAAACGTCCTGCACGGATAAAGAGGGTTTGATTATTTTTTATACCTTTTCATTAAATAAATAATAAAAATGAAGATGAATTAATACTCATAAAACGTGAGGGGAAAAAACAAAATACAAAGAGTGAGTTTTTCTTTATGCAAGACAAATCTAAAAAAGTTGAAATAAGGGCATCTGCAATAATATTTTTTTGCCCTACTAGTAATGATTCCAAGTAGGGATAATAAAAGTTAGAAGGAGATTGACCAAGAGACGTAGAACATCATCCTTAATCACCACCCATCCTTAGATTCTTGCAGAAGCTTGACCAAAAGGCATTTCATTAACTGGACCATGATTTCATATCGAACTTTTATTTCCTCATTTCCCCTTCCCGGCCCTTTAAAGGTCTAAACATAGCATGACTCATAATTTAGTAAAACAAATAGTTGCATATATCCACCATAAACATATCCTAAAGAAACAAAATCAAACATCAACGAATAAGTCTAATTCATTCACCATTATGAAACAAGTAAACATTGAAATCCTCACACCATTAAATAACATGGACTAACCTGCTTCCCTGTGGCTCGAGATATTCTCTCATGTTCTTATAAATCTTCCCCCTTCCGAACTATTGCTCTAAACATTCTCTATTTCAGCACGAGCAAAAGCTTTTTTGTGTGTCATCAACTATTTTTATAATTTATCCAAATAAATATTAAATTTCAATGCAAGGCGTTCCCATAACATGTATTAGAAATAAATCAAAATAGTAGAATGAGCAATAAATGTAGGGGAGACAAAGGTATCCAACAAAACAATTATGAACCCTCTTAGACATCATATATATGTTTCAATCTGAAAACCATAACAAGTTTCGTGTTAAAGGTTGACGCATTCAAATCTAACAGTTGTTTTGCTATCTCATTATATCTTTAAACCAGACACCATAACTTAAAATTTTAAAAGAAAGAAGAAAAAATAACATGTGAACTCTATGGTATCATGCTTAATCTTCCTCTAGATTTAAGCAATTCTCAATAAAAATAAAACCCAAATATGGAAACCCATAATCTATGTTACAATCAAAAACCCATGTGAATGAAGAAACTTCAAAACTCCAACATCATGTGCTTAACATCATAAACATTGTTCCAAAAAAGGCCCTTAAATACCAACAAGAAATCCTCCAACCCGTTCGAAAAGAGACTAGCAAATCAAGATCTTGGCCAAACTCATTCAGTTTATATAAATTTATTGAGGTCTAGAAACAAACTAGAAAGAAATTCACAGGCAAAACCGGAAATAAATTAAAGGAAGGAAAGGAAGAAAATACCTGGATCAAGAAGATTGATAAACAAACATGAAGGTGGAAGCTTCACTTTATTGTTAGATCTCGAAGGACTGTGATGCCGAGAAAGGGAGAAGAGAGGAATCATGAAGCATAGGGATTCGATGCCGAGAGAGAGAGCGGTTCTACAGCGAAGAAGTGGTGAAGAAGTTTTATACAAGTGCAGCCGCAATTTGATTCTTCAAAATGAGTCCCTCCTCACATGCCCTAATTTTTGGGATCCATGTTTTTGAATTTGTTGGTGATGTGGATAACAAAAGCGACGTCGTCTTTTTAAAAAAAAAAGGATGTGAATTCTCAAAATAAAATTAAAAAATTATTTTAAGGGCATTTCATGTCAAAGCAACTTGGCTTTCTCTAATCACAAATTTTTTAGAAACGTGATGTAAATAGGCCTACTTATTTAATAATTATTTACAAAAAATATCATTAGTCATATTTGTTACATCACTTTTTTTAAAAATATGTAAATTGGTATACTAAACTAATTTTTTGTAGTAGTGCACCTAACTTTAATTGAATGATTTATACATCCAAATTAAACTACAAAGGGCAGAAAAAGCTCTACCATCATGTGTTTAATATTGCTTCATTTTTATGACTCGAACTTGAGACTTCTGATCATAGCACTTGCACTCACAATCTATGGTTAAATTGGTACAACTTGATACCGGCAAGAAATCCTCCAACCTGTTTGAAAAGACCTAACGAATTGAAATCTTCACCAAACCCTTTCGGTTTTATAAATTCATTGTGGTCTAGAAAGAAACTAGAAAGAAATTTCACGGGAAAACCAAAAAAATATTAAAGGAAGGGAAGGAAGGTAATACCTAGAGCAAGAAGGTGAAAAAACAGAAGAAGGTGGAAGCTTCACTTAATTGTTAGATCTCAAAGGACCGTGATGCCGAGGAATTGTGAAGCAAAGGGGAGTATGCTAAGAGAGAGAGAGTTTCTACAGCAAAGAAGCGGTGATGAAGTATTCTGCAGGTGCAGCCGCAATTTGATTCTTCAAAGTGAGTCCCTCATCGCGTGCCCTAAATTTTAAGGATTAATGTTAGAACTTTTCTTGATGACATGGATAAGAAAAGCGACGTCATCTTTTTAAAAAAGGGACATAAATTCTCAAAAATAAAATTTTAATTTTTTCAAATACTGGTTCATGTCAAAGAGACGTGGCTTTCTCTATTTATAAAGTTTTTAGTAAAGTGAGATAAATAAGTCTATTTATTTAATGGTACTTATTTACAAAACAAATGTCATTGGTAATATTTTTTACATCACTTTTTGTTTAAATAACGTAAAATTAGTATACTAAAAATAATTTTTTGTAGTAGTGAACTTAACTTTAATTGAATGATTTATACATTCAAATTAATCTACAAGGGCAAAAAAGCTCTACCAACATGTGTTTAATATTGCTTCATTTCTAGAACTCGAACTTGAGACTTCTGAGTGCAACACAATCTGTGGTTAAATTGATACAACTTGTTACCTATATATTTAAATGCATGCTCTATGACAAGAGTCAAGACATAGAGTAGCATAAAAAAGAAGAAAGAAAAGTTGCATTACACTTTTTCCTCCCTGTTGTTATTCTCAGTGTTTTGTTGTCTTTGCCTCCTTCTATTCTCTCATTTATATACACACATTTAGGGATCTCTCCATTAATGACTCAATCAAATTATAATCGTCATTGAATCATAATCATTCATTATTTTCCTTTTTATGTAATATCGTTATCATTTATGATAGATACATCTCTATTATCAGCATTTCACTCAAATGAAAATCTTTTGTCATTAGTTTTTTTTTTTATATGGTATAGAATCTTGAAAAATTTGAAAAAATATATAAAAGAGAAGGTGTCAAGCTCTTTGAAAGTATCATTATTTTCAAATTTTATCTAGATAATTTAAAAATATAATCAAATTCAAATGGCTAAAAGTTTATCTGGACAATTTAAAATTACAGTAAAAACATAAAAAGTATTTTATAAATGATTAAATTTCAACTATTCAAATGTTAATCCAAACATGAACAAATTAGGGGTACAATATTTCATTCTCTTTATCTCCTATTAAAATTTGTATAATATGAGTATGACGTATTTAATAGATTCAAAAATGTACATACTATCAATTGACTCAAAAGATGGTAAATTATTACCCAAAACATTGTCACTAAAGATGAACGAAATTTACGGTGGATTACTAACTTACATTGCAAACTTAATTAAGTATCATTTTTATAGAGTGTCCAAAATATCAAGTATTACATGTCAATGTTAAGCGTCGTTAGGCCTTAAATGGATCTTTCAATAACATCTTTTACATCAAATAATTGTTACAGAATCGTAATCATGGCTAGAGTATCTTGTGTCAATTAATATGATGATATGAACAATGACCAAATAGCATAAGAAAGAAAAATTGCATATAATGAAATAAATGCTGCGTGATCTATGGAAACAAGTTTTATATAGTTTAGTGCATATCGTAGAATATAAGTTGCAATACATCGAAGCTATGTCATAAGTTTTGACAATCAATGCACTATAGTTTCTAGAAAATAAACTAGCATTTACTTCCACGTGTGTTGCACCGGTGAAAAAAATTAAATGAATAGAAAAAATTTACTTCCAATCTTACCCTCCTTTGTAATTAATAATTATAATAAATTGTATTTTAGGAATTCAATCGACAATAAATAAACAAGGGGTAAAATTGATAAAATAATTAATTCCTCTTACTTTGACCTGGATTAAGGACTAAAGGGAGTAGTTTCCAAGTTCAGCATATCAAACATGCAAGCTAATCTTTCAATCGAATACAAAATGCTTGCAAATTTCACTGTACAGTTGTGACAAAGAGCAATACAATATGCATGGTACTCCTTCAAAATTAACAGTGCTGATAACATAACCAAAGTGCTATAACTCATAAATAAAAATAAAAAACCATTCAGGCAGCAGGTGGCAATTAACAAAGGAAAGAAGTTAGCCAACCATTGATTAAAGGACAAAGGGCCAAAAACACCTAAAATGTTTTCGGCGAAGAGCATCCAATAGTCTAAAATGAGAAAAAGTACACAAGCACCTATGAAGTTAATTTAGTTGGTGCATCTGTGATCAAACCGTTCAATTTCATATCCAAAATGTAACGGTGAATGCCTTTAACTTTTAATAGTTTGGTCATCAATGCACCAAAAAAATAACTTTATGAGCACTCATACACTTTTCTTTACTTTAGACTGCTAGATGCTTCTGGCCGATGACTTCTTGGGTATTTTTTGTCCCTTTGACCTTGATTGAAATGCAAATATCCCACGTTTTTACCTTATGTAGCCTCTCTACTTAACGTGCATATGAGGATCATGATTCATCCCTTCCATGTGCATAGATTATGGAAAATCTCTCTATAAACAATACTAGTGGTTGTTGTCTTAGGTTATTTGTCAGCTTCATGATGCAAAAGAATCTTTAATCTTTCTATACTCTTAACTCTTGAGAGTGCAATGTATAATTGGCCATGTGTAAAAACTGTTCTTGATAGAAATAAACCCGACATGATTAAGTAATCATCTTTGATTTGTATTGATTGTCATAGCATATAGAAGAGTGATAGGGAACTTTCTCCTTGTGAAAGGGCCATCCACTCTTAGATGGATTCATATCCATATGTGGATCAACAATTTTTTATTAGGCATAGATACATTCAATGTGATGGCTTGATAACATTTTTTCTAAGATGAGTAATGTACAAGTGAGTTCTACTGCATAAACCTAAGGCTTGGTCAATATTATGTAATAGCTTGCCCAGAGCTCTGACCTTCAACCTAAGTTTGTGAGGAGGTAGAACAAAAATATTATTGCATTTAAGAATTTACTTGTGTGTAAATCATTAAAGCAATCACTGTCCTGCATGGACTTGTAAACTGAGTTGCAGCTAGAGTAGTCCATAGAGTCACCAAGTACTAAAGAAACACATGAAATCATTTATCTTGTACACAGTTTGTGTTGTGGGTTTAAGAATTCCTCTATCATTAAAAAATTTTGAGGTAGTAAAATGTTCCATAAGATCTACATAAGTGGATATCACAATATCTTCCATTTGATTAGTGTAGTTAGATATTAACAACTCTGAAGGAATTTAAATATTGGATATTCCATCATGTGGTTGCCCTAATTTACAGTCACCAACTTCTAAAAGCCATTGTGAAAATTTTTTGAAAATTTTCATTATTGTAATTTGATGACAAAGACAATCTCAAATTTTCGGACAATTTATACATCGTGCAATGATTCCAGAGAGGAGAAGAATAATGCGTG